CGAAATAGTTGAATAATCGTCGGTGTGTCTTGGAAAGTACAATTCGAAACATAAAAAGAATATTAAAAGTACGTATTGTTATAAAATCGACGCGCGAGTACGTTGCGCCGAAGGAATAAGTGATATTAATCCTAATGACGCTCAGTGCAGTGTAAAAAGTGAAAAATTAGAGAAAGAGAGAGCAAGAGGTGTGTGTGCGTGTGTGCATGTGCGTATGTGTGCGTGTGTGGATAAAAGTAAAGAGTCGATGAACGTCGATGCATTCGAATCTGGAACGAATTCTCTTGTTTCTACGAATCAGTGTCTGTCTAATACTACGCTTTAAAAGAGTTCCTGAAAGTTTCGAATTGATAACTGAAAAATATATAAATAATTCGGGATAATAAATCTCTTTCATTTTACAAAAGGAAAATTCCCCAATGAAACAAAAGAAAATTTTCAATAAACTTTCGAAAATTTTCAAAGTTCTCTTGAATACTTTCTCGATGTTTGTTTAGTACCTGAAACTTTATATCTTTCATGATATTCGTTACCGAATTAGAAATCAAATCACTCCTATCGCGATATAAATATCCGCTAATTGCGTTTGCAGGATTTCAACCTATCGCTATCGCGAGTAATATGCAGACTTTACTGCGACGATGATTCGTTCCAGCGCAGTGTATCGATTAGTAAAACGCGCGAGACGAGGATGAAAGAGCGAACGACGGTGAGAAACCAAGACGACGAGAGTACGATGAAAACGAAAGAAAGAAAGAAAAAAAAAGGATTAAGAGGATGCATTACGTAGTGATATTGGACAATCAATGAAAAGACTGTATCATATCATATTGAAGCAATATTGTAGCATTAGTCGACGAATTAACAAACTTAATTTGTATTTTTCGTGATCAACCGCGCGTTCCTTGCGTTTCCAGGGAAAATTGCTTTCGCGGAAGCAACGAGGAAAAAAGCCAGGAAAACGACGCCTATTCGGTTAACTTCACCCTCGGGAAAATCAGTCTATTAAAACGCAATATTTTCGATGATAGATGCAGCATAATTCCAAGCGTATAATAAACAACTGGGCTTTGTGCGACGCTGGGAGCGACGGTTGATCACGCGACGAACACTGAGAAATTGATAACTGCTCGACTCTTGAAAACTGCTCGCTGTATTTCACGACCGCGGCTGCGATTATATTTTTGTTTCCTGATCGATTTCGCTGTCCCTCGCTGCGGCAACGAAACTCGCTGAATCGTGAATTTAAGAAAAACGAAAGAAAGAAAAAAAAAAGGAAAAAGAAAAGAAAAAAGAGAAAAAAAAAAAGAAGACGAAATCCTCGTACAACTGTGCATGCCAGAGCCGGTCACATGTCGATCGGGAATCGGATCAAAACCCCGAGCGTTCGAAGAACGATCGAGGAAAGTACGAAACCGCAGATATTATAATACCAGTGTATATCGAGCGCGTGATTAGGCCTGAGGTTTCCGCGTGCGTGTATCGAGCAATACCGCGAGGATGTTCGGCGATAAAAGAGCGATATGTCATTATAATAGTTAAAATGTAAGTGGAAGGATGGTAGTAATTTTTAAATTGTACATACGTAAGAAGATAGGTATTTTCTAGAAGAATAATAGTCTGTTGCCATTCTACTAGATAATGGAGTAAAGAAAATGATTCTAGTGCAATATAGAGTTTAACGACACTTAATTATTATTATTACGATTATTATTCGTTATTGCTCGTTATTTTCTCTCTCTCTCTCTCTCTATCTATCTATCTATCTATCTATCTATCTATCAATCTATCTATCTATCTA